AGAGCCTGGTCCTCATTGTCCGGAAGCCTCCCCTTGCTCAGAGGACTCCCCTCCGAGTCCCCACTCAGCTTTGGGGGTGGGGTGTGGCAGATGGGAGAGGCCAGGAAATGATCAGAGCTGAGGAATAGAGGAACTAGGACAACATCAGGGATGATTTAAGGAATAGTGAAGGTACTAGAGACTGATCCAAGAAAGGTAAACAGCAGTTGAACGATGTTGGAATTAAAGGTATCAAATCCATGAAAACGTTGACAAATAAAATATTTGACTAAAATATTTTTATAATCTGGATAGATAAAAACTGTCATAGTAAAAAGCAAATAGCAAGGTATACTGCTCAAATACTGAAAAACAGCACTGCTGGCTCCAGAGCCACCTAAGGACTTTTCACAAGAATGCTAACTCCATGGAGTCAGGCCTCCATGGTGAACTTCAGGGGATGTGGCTCCTATTCCTCAGCAGGTGGGTGTTTTCACCAGGCCAGCTTCCCGGAAAACGAGGCCCAGGACCACTCAGCCTCTTGTGAGAGAGTCAGGTGACTTCAAGACAGGTGGAGGGTGAGGAAATGGCCTGGAAGGTCTGGCAGGCCACCTGTGCTTTTCCTGTTCCAGTGCCCCTAAATCTATTGGATATGTGTGGTGCCCCTTCTTCCTGAAGGCGCTGGCCTCCAACTCAAGACTTTTCTGACCAGTGGTATCAGGAGAAGTAGCTGAGTAGTGGGGAACTCCAGGGGATTTGCCAAAGCCTTGAAGAAGAGAGGCAGGTCTGGAGCAAGTCTCCGTGCCTGGACAGAGTGCCCACTGGACTTCCGTAGAGCGTGGGACCTCCACGGGAAGGGAAAAGGAGGTGAGCACGTGTCCAGAAATGGGATCAGATCCCAACTGCGCAGGGGGCCTAAGGCCACCCGGAATCAAAGGGGAGCCAGGTTGAGCATCTCCAAAGGCCCCTGCAGTCTTCAGGGCCCCAGGCCAAGGCCATGAGTATAAGATCTTGCCCTGGCAACGTCACTATGCCCTGATTCGGACACCCCATTCCTGGTGTGCCAGCACTCAGCGTGGTAATCTCTGGGAGCCTACCCTCTTCCTGCCGTCATGGAGACTCCTAGGCCTGGCCCCTTGTCAGGGCCAGCCTGACGGGTGAACAGGGCTGAGGTAGGGAGGTGGGAATTAAGAAAAAAAGAAAGACAGAAAAGCAGGGTTGTGAGGGCTGCAAGCCATTGACAGACTGCAGCAGCTTTATTAACTGTGTAATGCCTTTTATACACAAACACTGAATGGGAGTTCTGTCAAGAGGAATGTATTTTTTGTTCCTCTTAATCTCTAAGGGAGAGAGAGTAGAAAGGCAAATTTTTAGCACAGCAAATCTCTGTAAATAGCTACAGACTTCTTGGTAAGCCATGAAAGGTTGCTCTCATTCTACTGATAATCACCATCCAAACAAGCCTGGGAACACATGTGGGTAAGGAACTGAGTCTTGTCAGTCCCTTTGGGTGCAAGAACTCTGCCAGCTACACCTGGTCTCCAGCAGCACCTGACCACAGTGCTCTTGCTCTGCCTTTAAGGTTTCTCTGCAGCCCACAGCTCTTCTCTGCAGGAGCAGCCTTGCTTTCCAGGTAGCTCAGTTCATCCGAATGCCTCGAGGACACTAACCTGTTTCAAGTGTCCTGAGTCAGATCAACATGGCTTACCAGGACCTGACCTCCTGGTATGATGTGTTAGATCAAAGATAGGAAGTGTCTGACCTAGAGTCAGACAGCTGACTAGAAGCAAAATTGGGATAGAAATTAGATCCCTATAGAGAACCAAGATGATGGCTTAGGTAAGCACCTAAGCTGCCGCCTCGCTCAACGATTTCAAAACAACAACTAAAATCTGAACGGACATCATCCAAAAACACAGGAAAGCTGGTGGAGTGGGAAATCTACAAACAGAAAGAAGGAGAGAGGCTCACGGATCAGATTGGGAGCCGCAAAGTGCTGAGTTAGAGAGACACATGCGCAGAGAGGAAGGACAGCAGGAGGGGAAAGGAAGTCCCTGATGGCACTGAACACTTTCCGACTGTACTGAACCCCAACCCTGGCCAAAATCCCGTGGACCCAGGCTCATACGGGTGGAGTCTGGACTGTAGAGAAAGGCACCTGGAGACTCAGAGACTGGGAGACTGGGAGAGCCAGGAGCCACAGCAGGCAGGGTCTACAGTTGCACGCAAGTGAGTGCACACAAAGAGGTCTGACTGTGGAGGTCAGACTACAGAGACCCAACCCAATTCCAGGCGAGCCCCTGGGGCACCCATGCTCTTGCACGGGGAATCTGGACTGTCAGGCGGAAACTCAGGGGAGCTGGGATGGCAGAGGTCAGGCGGAAACTCAGGCAAGCCCACAACGCAGGGCTGACGGGAAGCCAAGGCTCTCAGCTCAGCCCTGAGACTCTGCCCCATCCAAGCTGAGCACAGAGGCTTTTGCAATTTTGCAAGTCTGATCCTATAAGACTGTCTTTAGCCGAAAATGGTTTGGCTCAATGGTAGAGCATCAGTCTGCAGATTGAAAGGTCCCAGGTTCAATTCTAGTCAGGGGCATGTATGATGGTTGCGGGCACATCCCCAGTAGGGGATGTGCAAGAGGCAGCTGGTTGATGTTTCTCTCTCATCGATGTTTCTAGCTCTCTATCTCTCTCCCTTCCTCTCTATAAAATATCAATAAAAAATATATTTAAAAAAGACCATGATTGTCTCTAAAAACAAACAAACAAAACAAAACAAAAAAACAAAAAACACCACTGTCTCTAATACAGAAGGTATCTTGGAGTAGACACAGTTGATACCCACATTCAATTGGCCTGAAGGTCAATTCCTCCCAAGGATACCAACAACAATAAAAACTTAACTACAACAAGGCTGTAAACACAGTCCACAAATGGGAGCACCAAGAGTGTCCACCTCAGGTAACTGGGGAGGCTGACCCACCAGGCCATAAAGGACACCAAACACACAAAACCACCCTACCAACTCAGGGAAGCAGCAAAAATGCTGAGACAAGGAAACAGATCTCAAACAAAAGAAATGGAGGAGAACAAAAGACTGGATATAGAGTTCAAAACCACAGTTATAAGGTTTTTCACGAATTTCCTAGAAAAGGCCGATAAATTTAATGAAACCCAACTAGAAATTAAACATAAACTGACTGAAATAAAAAATATTATACAGAGATCCAACCGCAGAATGGAGGAACACAAGAATCAAGTCAAAAATTTGGAATACAAAGAGCCAAAGGACACTCCTCTGGAGAAGCAAGAAGAAAAGAGAATCCAGAAAGTTGAAAATAGTGTAAGGAGCCTCTGGGACAAATTCAAGCATACCAACATCAGAATTATGGGGTGCCAGAAGAATAGAGAGTGCAAAATACTGAAAACCTATTTGAAGAAATAATATCAGAAAACTTCCCCACCTGGTGAAAGAAATAGTCTTACAAGTTCAGGAAGCTCACAGAACCCCAAACAAGAGGAATCCAAAGAGGATAGCACCAAGACACACCATAATTAAAATGCCAAGGGCAAAAGACAAAAAGAGGATCTTACAAGCAGCAAGAGAATAGCAGTTGGTTACCTATGAGGGAGCACCCATACGACTATCAGCTGATTTCTCAACAGAAACTATGCAGTCCAGAAGGGAGTGGCAAGAAATATTCAAAGTGATGAATAGCAAGAACCTACAACCAACATTCCTGTATCCAGCAAAGTTATCATTCAGAATTGAAGAGCAGATAAAGAGCTTCACAGATTAGAAAAAGCTAAAGGAGTTCACTTTATATGAAATGCTGAAAGGTATTCTTTAAGAAGAGGAAGAAGAAAAAAGATAAAAAGATATATATCAAAAAGTGAATCTAAAAATCAAGTGAATTAAAAATCTGAGGAACAGAATAAACTGGTGAACATAATAGAATCGGGAGCAAAGAAAGGGAGTGGATTGATAATTATCAGGGGGAAAGAGGTGTGGGGGTGCAGGAAGAGACTGGATTAAAATCGTACACCTATGGATGAGGACAATGGGGGGGGGGCAGGTAAGGGCAAAGGGTGGGGCGGGAACCGAGTGGAAGGGAGCTATGGTGGGAAAAGGAGAAACAATTGTAATAACCTGTGCAATAAAGATTTATTTTTAAAAAAAATTAGATCACCAGACCTCAGGCATTAATCAGATGTAATTTAACAGCTTAGCACAGATGACCTTAACCTAATCCCCGGAAGTTACGTGGAAAAGGAATCTGTTTATGTAGTTAAGGTTGTGAACCTTGGGAAGGTTATTCTGGATTATCCCAGTGGATAACCCAGTTTAATCATGAATTCCTAAAAGCACAGAAGTTTTCTTGGGTTGGTCAGAGAGATGAGGTAGAAGGAGGAGAGGGAGATTTGAAACATGAGAGGGACTTAACTTGCAGTGGTGGCTTTAAAGGTGGAGAAAGGCTCCAAGACTAAGAAATGTGGGTGGCCTCTAGAAGCTAGAAACAACTGTCAGCTGAGACCAGGAGGAAAACACAGATCTCAATCCTAAGACCACAAGGAAGTGAGTTCTGCCAATAGCCACAATAAGCAAGTAAATGGGTACTCTCCAGATTCTCCAGAAAAGAAAGCAGCCTACTTGATACCTGGTAAATTTCATATCAGATGGATGCCTGCACAACAGTAAGATAATAATTGTGGTTTTTGCCTGGCTGATGTGGCTCCATGTTTGAGCATCAACCTATGAACCAGGAAGTCACGGTTGGATTCCTGGTCAGGGCACATGCTCAGGTTGTGGACTCAATCCCCAGTGTGTGTGTGTGTGTGTGGGGGGGGGGGGGGAGGGGAGAAGGCAAGTGAGAGGCAGCCAATCAATGATTTTCACTCATCATTGATGTTTATATCTCTCTCCCTTTCCCTTCATTCCTGAAATCACTTTTTAAAAATTTGTGGAGTTTTTTGTTTGTTTGTTTCAGATATATACTAGAGAATGCACAAAACCAAAGGCAACTGCAGCCAATTAAGCCGACCAGGCCCTTTTCCCCATGGGGGCCTGGTGTGCAATGGCTGCAAACAGCAGCATCCTTGGTAGTGTACGCAACCTGTTGCTTAGTATGGGTTGCCCTAAGGGACCTTGGATACAGCCCTTTCTGGTGGACATTCGTCACGCTGCCCTCCATCTAGGCTCAAAATGGGTATGCGGGGTGCCTTTGGAAAGCCCCAGGGCACAGTGGCCAGAGTCCACATTGGCCAAGTCATCATGTCCATCCGCACCAAACTGCAGAACAAGGAGCATGTGATTGAGGCCCTGCACAGAGCCAAGTTTAAGTTCCCTGGCCGCCAGATGATCCACATCTCCAAGAAGTGGGTCTTCACGAAGTTTAACGCGGATGAGTTTGAAGACATGGTGGCCGAGAAGCGCCTCATCCCTGATGGCTGTGGGGTCAAATACATCCCTAATCGCGGTCCCCTGGACAAATGGCGAGCCCTACACTCGTGAGAGTCTGGTGCTGCCCCCACCTTACACCCACCAATAAATCAGTTTTCCATCAAAAAAAAAAGAAAAAAGAAAAAAGAACCAAAGGCAGAGCTGAAGGGGCAGATCTCAGAATGGCAGGAACACAGTGGTTATCAGAACTCTGAGGGACTGCCTGCCACAGTGACGGGGCTCCATGCACCGCATGTCTCCATACAAGTTTCCAGTTCATGGAAGAGGGTTCACTCTTCCAGTGGGGCCCACACCCATTCTGTGGTCAGGGGAGAGGGCCGTGGGATTGTCATCATTTCATGGGGGGTTGGGAAGATAAGGAGTTCCTAAAAAGAAGGACAACAGTTGCTCACTGCAAAGCTCAATCATGGTTCTTCTGTTTAAAACTTTTGAACAACCGTTCTTCAGTGAGATTTCATCGCCACATAGGCCTCACTGGAAGAGCACTGTCATCATAATGGCAGCAAATTATGAGTCCTTTGACTCTGCCTCCACTCCCCTGTAGGGAAGTTTTACTGTATTTACATATACTCCCTGCATGGTCAGCCTCTGTGGAGTGCCTGTCGCTCGTCTACTGTGAGGTGAGTGTCCATTCTTCCTGTTGGCCCTGTGGGATGAGTGCCATTGTATTCTCTGGCTACGCTACCAAGCTAAAGAGTGTGGTTCACTGAACTCATCAGAGCCCACTCAGATGAGAAGCGGAGTTTGCAGCAAAGAAAGTGAAAAATGAAAGAGAGGGGGAGCCGGAGACCAGGATGCCAGGACACAGGCTTTACTGAAGAGAAGAGTACCATTGCTGGCTGCTTCCAGAGAGAGAAGAGCAGAAGAGAGCTAGGGCCGGGGTACAAGCACTTTTTAAGGGGAGGAAAGAGCGGGGACGGGGCTTAGGGCACTCAGCACACACTGATTGGTGGTTTCATGTAAGGCCTATGATTAGGGACCTAGGGACTTAGGAATCGGGGGCTTAGGGTATTTGGCAGGTGCTGATGGGTGGTTCAATGCTCAGGAATGTCTGGCTGCAGGTGGAGTTTATGTCTGTCCATCAACTGGAGGAAGGGAGGATCTATCAGAAAGGAAATGTTTATTTTTCAGAAAATGATGCTAAACCTGGGGTCACAGATGAGCTGTTGCTCTAAGACCTGGCTCCCTCTGGCTTCCAGAGGATGGGCTCTATAGGGGGAAATCCTTAATCATGGTGACTAAGGGCATTAGGCTCACGGTCTTTGTTGATTGGTAGGTGTTAGGGTGGGAAGTCCTGATGTCAACCCTGCAATACTCTGTTGGGTTTCACATGGATGTGGTCAGGGAGGCCAGTCAGCTTTTCTGGGTCTGGAGCTGAAACACAACTGATGTCTACGTATTATTTTCAGCTTGATTCAAACTCAATTTCTGTGATCAACAGATCTGAGGCTTTATTCAGAAGATTATTTGATACTGACCAAAGCCTTATTGTCCTGAAGTCTTGATGATTAAAGGACTGGTTGTGCAAGGGAGAGGTAGGTGGCTGAGTTCAGGGTGCTCCTAGGATGGACAAGGCCAGTTTGAACCAAAAGGAAAGGAGAAAATTCCAGATTAAAGGAATGAAATTTCTGTGCAGTTTCCACACAGTTACAACTTGGGGATGATCTTTCCTGCCTGCTGATCCCACAGGCAGGAAGTTGTGATGTGGGCACACTCAGCTCTGCCGCTGACTGCAACAGCCAGATCTCCGGGTCTCAGGCCACAACCCTGGCATTTGTTACCTTGGAAACTGCTCACAACTATGCTATGGGTTCCTTGAATTTCAACTTTCCATAGAGGCTGAAATGAAAGAGCTTCCTACCTTTTGTGTTTCTCTTTATCCTTTGCATGAGTTCTATACAAATACCATTCATTGCCTACTGAATAGCCAGTCTTTTCTTCTTTCTTAAAAATTGTATCTTCAGTTTTTAGCTGGATACATTGCCATATTGCTTTCAAGGTAAAAAAACAGAAACTACATTTCTAGCCTCCCTTGCAGCACAGAGTGTGTTCCGGTCATTGAGCTGTAAGTGAAATATCCCATGCAGCTTCCAGTAAATGTCTTCAAAGAGACGGAGCAGGGCCCTGTCTGGCCCTAGCTCCTACTAGAACGAAGATGTAAATGTGTGGTATAACAAATCATTTGTCTCATATTGATATGCTGGAGGGTGTCCTGCCTCAATCCTATGAGGAGGGCATGGAAGCTCTGTGTCGCTCTCAGATGTTCACCAACCAGAAAACTCCTCTGAACTCAATGTCCGAGGCTTTGTTGGGGTTTAACTATGTAGGCATGATAAAGTAAGTCATTGGCCACATGCCTGAGCTCAAATCACCAGCCCCTTCCAGCCCCCTCCCATTCCCACATCTAAACATCCCTGCACTTCACCTCCACACGGAAATAAAGCTAGTTAGAGGCCCACAAGGAGTTACCTTATGCAGGACATCCTCCTAGCATATCAATATGTATCCTTTGTGATAAAACCGTAATCGTAAGTAGAGCGCTTTAAGTTCTGTGAGTTGTTCTAGTTAATTATTGAGCAAATCTATGAGCGCCCCCACGTTTACAGCAGGCAGTCAGAGTGCAGGTGGTCTGGGAATCACTAGACTTATGGCTGGGGTCTGAAGTAAGAGCAGCTTTGTGGGAAACTCTGCCCTCAACCGGTGGACCCTGTGCTAAATGGGTGTGTGAAAGAAAATAACCACCAAAGATGGTTTGAAAATTTAATATCTAACTACATACAGGTTATAGTGGGTAGTCATGTCCCAGATATTTCACCTGACAAAGATCACCTTCATCTTTACTGAGCCCATCTGCCTCCCCGCCTCTAAGATAACTTGTCTGTGAGATGTCTGGGTAACTTGTAACTTCCTTTTACCCCGGACCCCTCAGGGCACAACAAATGGCCTCAAGACATTCCCTCAATGTTACTGTGATCAAGTTGTTAACTGTTAATTATGTTAGAGTATCCTGTATCCTCTCTGTAAAGGAAGCTCATGTCCATCATTTCACCTTTCACCCTATCCCAGAGGTTTCCCCGCTTCGCTCTGTCCCACCTCCCTAATCTATCACCAATGAATTTCATGTAACTCACCTATGTCCCTTTCCTTTGATTGCAATGTATAAATACAGAAATGTAACCCGCCATTCTCCGGAGCATTATCTCAATCCGTTGAGGTTCTGCTTCCCGGCATATGTCGACAGTTTGGCTCAAATAAACTCACTAAAATTCTTTACAGGTTTCAATGCTTTTTTTCGTTAACAGGTGGTTAGTGTCAGAGTTGAACTGTGGTTCATTCAGTGTTAGACCAAATGGCTAGAGCTGTTGCTGCCAGCTTGGATCATGAGCCAGAGAATGAAATGCAGAAGGTAGTCATCTGGCCCCTTCTAGAATGCGCAGCCACCTCACCAACTCTGCACTCTACAGATGCTACACTTTAACTTCACGGCTTCTGGCCACCACAATCAGACTCACACAGGTTAAGGTGAATTTATCAAAGAATTATGCATGGCTTTAAAGATGGGTGCTTGTTCTGTCTCATAAACAGTAGGCTGTAGGTTGTCTCATGAGGTTCCTGATAAGTTTAGAGACTGAGTAGCTGGCCAGTCTGGCATAAGAGGCGTTTGTTCATGCCCCACCCACTGCCTGGTGAATTGGTCCCTCTACGTTTCCAGCTTCTACACCTGTCCTCAATTGCTTATTGTGCTACACTTTTCTGTCATAACTCCATGCTACACTTTTATCATGGCTTCAGCCTATTCTTGGTTCAGCTTTCTCATGGCTTGCATGGAGCTCAGGCTTTTAGCCTTCTAATCTTGCTACATCACTTTCAAATTCTGGAGAGAAGTGAGGTTGGTTATCTATATTCTTTTTAGTGTGTACAGACCTTTCCTTTCAGACAGACTATAGAATAGCTGCCCTAGCAGCAGATGCCAATCTACATTTGGTGTATTTGTTAGCTATTGCTGTGTAACAATAACCACAGAATTAGCATCTTAAAACAACACACATTTCTTTTTTTTTTTATAAACATATTTTATTGATTTTTTACAGAGAGGAAGAGAGAGGGATAGAGAGTTAGAAACATCGATGAGAGAGAATCATCGATCAGCTGCCTCTTGCACACCCCCTACTGGGGATGTGCCCGCAACCAGGTACATGCCCTTGCCCGGAATCGAACCTGGGACCTTTCAGTCCGCAGGCCAACGCTCTATCCACTGAGCCAAACCGGTCCTGGCACAACACACATTTCTTAGCTCACAGTATGTGTGTTCAGGAGTTCTGGCCTATCTTAGCTCAGTCCTCTGCCCAGGTATCACAGGCTCTATTAAAGTGTCAGCTAGACTAGGTTTTCCTCTGGAACCTTAACTATGAAAGTATCAGCTCCCACCCTCACGCAGATTATTGGCAGAATTCATTTCCTTGATGTGTGAAATTAGGTCCAGCCTCTTGCAGGTGCTTCGCTGGAGCCACCCTGATTCGCGGAGGTTTCTTGGAGTTGCTGCAGGCCGGCTGCAGTCCTCGCCACGTGAGCCACAGAGCTGCTTCGTCAGGCCAACCAGGAGTCTCTAGCCTGGCAGCGAGGCAGTCTTATGTAATGTAACATGGTCCAGGTGAGGCATAGTAACCTCCATCTTGTATAAAAGACTGTTGTTTGAAATTCTCTGTTCTTGTTAGATAATCCCTTGTCCTGTAAACTCTGTCATTGTAAACTCTGTCACAGTCTCTTATTCTATAAAATTTGTTCTTAGTTCAAATAATAGAAAAAGATAAACTTAACTGTCTGACCTTGCAAGCTAGCCATCTAACTGATATGCTGATGCTGATAATGATGCCAGGTGCCTGTATAGATATGATACTCAAGGTTACAGATGTCTGTATAGATATGATATCTCATGGTTACAAGTTGTCTCTGCAAACAAAGGCTTGAAAAGTATAAATACGAGAAACTTCCTGTATGTGGGGCTCAGAGATTTGGAGGAGATACCTCCCTCTGGGCAGTGTGCAATAAGCAACTCCTAATTAATTGGCTCATTAAGGTGTCTTGTATCGCATTTGCTAACTTGATACAACACAAGAAGTGACATCCCATAATTTTTGCCACAGTATGTTGGATAAGATCACAGTCTTGCCCACATTCAAGGAAAAGGAATTATATAAAGGCAAGAACACCAGAAGAGGAATAATGTGAGGTCATTTAGGGTCTGTTGCCACAACTAGCATATGTACATTTGGGATAGGAACAGTGTTACAGAATGTGGTACTTGGAGGAGACAGATGCTGAGTGTGGCTTAGGTAATAAACAGATGAAGGTTATAAAAACAGCAGATGTACACAAGTTCAAAAGTTTCATAACCTTTATATGTGTTGTTCATTTAACTGATACAATCAGATTGAGGTAAGTAACAGTATTCTCATCTTATGAATGAGTGAACTGGAAGAAACTAGTAGTTTCCTAGCTAGGGAGTTGGCCAAGGGTGGTGTCTGGACTTAAAAAAAAAAAACCCACAAAAGTTGTTTGCCTTTATCTAGGAACCAACCAGCAGATGTAGTGTCTTTGATGTCTTGACCTGTTTTGCACTAGTTTCCTTCTTCACTGCACCCCAAATTGGGGATTCCTGTTGGCATTGAATTGGCGCTAACGAACATTGCTTGACACTTTCTAGGTAGGCACTGTGGGACTGGAAGCACTCTACCAGGTGACTATTAAAGGTTGAGGTCAATAAAAGGCACTTCAGCCAAAACTGGTTTGGCTCAGTGGATAGAGCGTCGGCTTGCGGACTGAAAGGTCCCAGGTTAGATACCGGCCAAGGGCATGTACATTGGTTGCGGGTATATCCCTGGTAGGGGGTGTGCAGGAGGCAGCTGGTTGATATTTCTCTCTCACAGATGTTTCTGGCTCCCTCTCCCTCTCCCTTCCTCTCTGTAAAAAATCAATAAAATATATTTTTTTAAAAAGAGAGATGAAATTTCTCTTTGGTTCTCCTTTAAAAAAATAAATAAAAGGCACTTCAGGCTTTCGCAAAACCCTGGAGCCAAACTGTGGAGAATTGGTGGAACTATTGTTGAGATCCAATGTTTGGAGAGTTAAGAGAAGCTAAATTATTAAGGCCTTTGAATACTGGGACTAGAAATTTGGAATATATTCTAAATTTATTAGAATATCGTGGATGAAAAGAACTCAGGTTGCTTTAGAAAAAAAACTGTGTGGAGAACAGATTGTGAGTAGGAAGAGAGTTGATAGAGGCAGCACTCCTGTAATCCACACAAGCAATAATGAAAGTATGACCCAAGCCTTAGCTGGTCTGGCTCAGTGGATAGAGCGTTGGCCAGAGGACCAAAGGGTCCCAGGTTCTATTCTGGTCAAGGGCACATTCCCGGGGTTATGGGCTTGACCTCCAGCAGGGACTGCGCAAGAGGCAGCCAATCAATGATTCTCTCTCATCATTGATGTTTCTATCTCCTCTTCGCCCTTCCTCTCTGAAATCAAGAAAAGTATATATATGTATATATATATATATATATATATATATATATATATACATACATATATATATTGTGTATATATATATACATATATATATATATATATATATATTTTTTTTTTTTTTAAAGTGTGACTCAAGGCTTATGGAAGGGATGGAAACGGGTAGAGGTACATATGATGACTCTGTAAGATGAAAGAGTAAAAACAAGATAAAACTAAAGGCAGAAAGGATGGTGATGCCATTAACCAAACCCAGACATCAGGAGGAGTAGAGATGAAGCAAATTAATAAAGTGATTGATATATTACCTTTCAGGGGCAGCAGGTGAAACTGTAGGTGCAAAACTCACTACCATGTAGATACATTTTTGAATTATTTTCAAGAACAATATTTGGAACTGAGAGTGCATTTAACCAGTTAGGAAGATAGTACAGCATTATAAAAGAGGGCTGGAGAATGCTACACAGTTTTGGTGAAGAAGGTATAGTGGAGATGGATAGAGATAAGAGGAAAAGCAGGAAAAAGGGTGGATACAGAGGCCAAGGGGAGAACGTTTTAAGCAGGATTATCATAAATTAGACAAGGTGAGAAGATGAGCAAGTCGCCTGCAGATTTGGGGGGCATTTTAAGAAGGGTGGAAGCAGAATCCATCCAGTGTGGAGGCTGCCTGGAGGAGAGAGGAGGCTGAAGTACACTGCAGCAGTTATTTCGGAAGAAATTCGGTAAGGGAAGAAAGTGAGGAAGGAGAAGGCCTGGGAAGGAGGGCTCCTGAGGTAGCAGGTATCCAGGCAGCGGTGCAGGATAGGACGCAGGGACAAGCTCCGGGTCTGGATGACCACCTGTGAAGCAGAGGGACGTCATGTTTATTATCAGCCCCAAATCCTGCTTCACAGCTTTGGCTGAGACTTTTCACGTGTATGAACTCCCACCCTGCACCCCTCCCCACCGCCCAACCCAACAATACCATCCCCTTCGCTTCCTCGTGATCCGGAGACAGCAGGTGCAGCGCCGACAGCGCCAGAAACGCTGTCGGAGCCGGGGCTTCACCGGGGCTTGGCTCCGGGGCGGGCAAACCGAATCGTTCCCCAGATGGGCTTCGCCGTCCGTGGCCTTCGCGGCGGTATCAGTGCCACAAGCAGCGCGGGGAAGGCCCTCGGCCCCTTCTCCGCTGCGGCAGGCCTCCCTCACCCGCGCCGCACTCCCCTGGGGAAAATGAAAGCTAGTGCCTGGGCAGAAGCAAAAGGGCGGGATCCACTCTCCTTAACGCGCAAAGGAAAGGCCAGAACCAACCCTGAATCTCGAGGCGGGCCTTAGGCCGCTGCTGAACCGCCGGGAGGCCCCGCCCAAGCCCGCCTCCCAGAGCCGGGGACTACATTTCCCGCCGGCCTTCGCGGCCCCGAGGGCAGACCCGCTCTCCCTCTCGCTCACACTGGCGGTGACTGGTTCCCCGGAGGAGGGCGGGGCCTGCATTAGCCAATAGGAGGGGTGCTCGTTACGGCGGCGGAAGCAGCGGCGCTGGGCTAAGTGGTGGGGGACAGAGTGCTTGCGCCCCGGCGGCGGCGGGGGCGGCGGCTGCAGCGGAGGGTCCGGGGCCGAAGACGTGGGCCCCCAAGCTGCGAGCACCCGAGAACGAGCTCGAGGCTGCGCGGCGACCACTCGGTGCAGCGCCCAAGTAATGGCGGGACGGGCGCCGGGAACGGAGGGGCGAAGAGGGGAGGAGACGAGGGGGCGGGGCGGTCGAGCCGGGCTGCAACGTCCGTCCCGCTGCGCGTCCCCGGGGAAGGGCAGCGGTGCCGGGTCCGCAGTGGCTTGGCCCCAGGCTGTGTGGCGAGCGGGGCTCGGCGGGCGGACCCGGCGTCCTGCAGCCAGAGGGGAGAGGCGCTGGGTTGATTCGGGTGGGCCTGGGCCTTGGCGAGGAGGCGAGCGGCGGGGCGGGCGGGCGGGCAGCCTGGGAGTTTGGCTCCAGGAGCAGTTTAAAGTGACTCTCCACATCCGGGCCCTGCGCCCGCCGCTTTTAGACCCCGGCGAAGGCGAGGCCTCCGCTCTCCGCCCCCCGCGCCGGAGAGCCCGTCTTCCCTGTCATTGGCTCCGCCTCGCGGCCTGGGCCGGCTGCGGCCAGGCTCGCGCCTGATTGGCTGGCAGTCGGCGGGCGGGACCTGACTGCGCAGTGCGCGGCGGATTGGTGCCAGGCTCGGTGACGGCCGTCCCGGGCCAATGGGCGGGCAGGGGTGTTGGGGGCAGGTTCGGGGAAAGGGCTGGAACCCCCGGCGGCGCGGCACGGTCGGGGCGGCCCGGCTCCGGGCGAGTGAGTGGAGGGCTGGATGTGGTCGAGCCCGAAGGGCACTCGTTGAGTCCCGTCTGCGGCCCGGAGCTCCGCGCTGCCGCCGAGATGGGCCCTCCGCGGCCCGCCCAGCCCGGCGAGATGCAGGCGGGGGTGGCGGGCGGCGGCCGCAGGTAGAGACCCGCGGCTGCGCCGGGGTCCCGGACGGCGGCTCCCGCTCCACGTAGCCTCGGAGGCCCTCCATCTCCGTGGGGTGGGGGCGAACAGGGGCGTCCGAGAGCTTGGCTTCGAGGGGCCAGGGAGTACATTTCAGAGAAGGCGTGGAGGTCCCGGGCCCTCTGGCTCGGGGGGTCTGAAAGGGAGACAGCTCTTGGGAATTCCTTTTGGGTCACGTCTGATTCTTTCTGAGGACTGGGCATCTCCTTCTGTGGTATCTGTGACCCCTGCTGCACCCCTTGTGAGGGTCACAGATACCACGTACTGTATTGTGGCTGCCAGGCAGGATTCAGGTGTTTTAACGTGGAAACCCTAAAAAATATTTGTGCAGGGCCAGTATCCCCCAACACCATGTAAACGACTTTGCTATTAATTAAACTTAGGTACATCCAAAATTACAGAATTTAGATCATTTCTGCACTGTATATTGATCACAAGTAATTGTTATAGATGAATAATGCTGCAGTGATTGTTTCTGAGGGGAGATATGGGTACTAAAGATGCTTTAATTTTTCATTAGAGATTTTAATCTAAGAACCCAGTAATAACCATATGATTTATGCATGCAGGTGGAAATGAGTTCTCAGCAGTTTCCTCGCTTAGGAACTCCCGCTGCTGGGCTAAGCCCTGCTCCGGCACAGATCACCAGCAGTGGTTCGGCAGGACTGATAAACCCAGCAGCTGCAGGTGAGACGTGAGATACTCTGTTGTTTCCGTTTTAAGAATATTGTCAGTTTTCTCATTAAAAGTTAGCAAATTTCTCCTGTGATTTTAGTAAAGACTAAGTTGTCAAATTTAATGAAAGGACATGTTACAATTCTAATTTAAATTTAAGCAATTCTCCCCCCCCCCCCCCATTTTAGTCACATCATTCACGTGTACTAGTTTATTCGTGAAAGTTACAGTATAGACGCATAAAGCCTTCTCATTTACTGAAGGCCCGGAGATATGGTGATAAGAACCCGAAGCTGTGTCGGGCGTAGGCCTTGTTTTAGAGGTCAGAGATGCTGCTCACCGTTCTCCAGTATGCAGGAAGGAATTCCGCTGAATTAACAGTGCTGAATGGGAAGAACTTTAAATAGTCTCCTTCTCTTTAGATATCACGTAAAAAGATGGCGCTGCAAAGTGAAACGAAGCACTTTTTCCTATTTATTTTTCTTTGCTATGTGATTGCTCTGTTCTTTATTGTGGTAAATGGTGCCACTGTCTACTCATTGCTCAAACCAGGAACTCAGACATCTTTAACTGCTCTTTGTCTCTTCCACATAAGCTATGGCCTTCTGTCTAATGTTTCAACCTCTTTTCTATGACTTGGCTTCCCTCTGCCAACTTAGTTTTTGTTACAAATTTATTTTAGTTCTGTTTATTCTTGAAGTGGTAACTTGAAGCAACTCTATGTCTCCTGCATAATTGTATCTATCACATTTTCTGAACTCATTATAACAAATTCTAGGCTTTTTAAAAAAATTTTTTTATTGATTTTTTACAGAGAGGAAGAGAGAGGGATAGTTAGAAATATCGATGAGAGAGAATCATCGATCAGCTGCCTCTTGCACACCCCCTACTGGGGGATGTGCCCACAACCAAGGTACATGCCCTTGACTGGAATCGAGGTACATGCCCTTGACCCTGGACCCTTCAGTACACAGGCCGACGCTCTATCCACTGAGCCAAACTGGTTTCGGCAAATTCTAGGCTTTCTTGACCTTGAGAATTTGAACATTTTGTTCCTTTTGCCACAATCTTGCTTCATCCTTTCCACATTTATTTGTCTGGCTAATTTCTGTTCTTCTTAGGTTTTGAGTCAGATGTCACTTTCTCTAGGAGGCCTTTGCTGACTCCCATCATCCGTAACAATTGATTGTCTCCTGCCCTTCAGCTAACCAGTGTAGGGCACAAAGTAGTAGTCAGCAAGTTATTGTAGAGTATCTGAAAAGTGCCTTACTCCTTCAACACTTTTACACTATTTTGTCTTTGGTGTAAGTTCACAACAGAATAATTTAAAAGAGCATAGCTAAGATAATATTTTTGAATGTCTCTTCTTACATGGAATTATATTGCTCATTTTAAAAGCTGTTAGCAGTAATTGCCCTCATATTTTGTTGAGAAGCAAATCATTGACTTAGGCCAAAATTGTCTATAATTGCAAAGTTTAGAAGTATAGATTACAATAATTCTCTATTGCTCCAAGATTCTTTTCTGGTAAAAATAAACTGAAATTGAGAACTCCAGATGTCTGTAAGGAAATGATAAATAGTTCCAAAAAGAGCTTAAGAAAGATGGTCAGTATATTATAACTTTTTAAAAATATTAGGTCTAGTAATAATTAATGTCGTTTTCTAATACTTTTTAAATCGAATTTATTTAAACAATACAACAAAATTTAATCAACAATATAGTTGCTGTTGTTTTCTACTACTTGTGCTCAGGAAGCATTTTAATCCCTCTGTTGTAAAATTCTTGTGATTTTGATGCAAAAAATTCGGTCAGTGCATTTTTGAGGCATTCTTCATTATTAAATTTTTTTCCAAGAAGAAAGTTTTGCAAAGAACGAAACAAATGGTAATCGGAAGGGGCAATATCAGGAGAATATGCAGGTTGAGGGAGAACTTCCCATTCCAACTGGCGCAGTTTTTTAGCAGTGATTCTTGCAGTATGCGGTCGTGCGTTATCGTGGTGAAGAATTACGCCCTTCCGATTAATCAGCGCGGGTTCTTTTTCTCTTAAATCTTGGGCTAACCTTTCCAATTGGGCACTATACACTGCACTTGTAATGGTTTGGTTAGATGGTAAAAGTTCATAATGAAGAATTCCTTTAAAATTCCACCAAACACACAACATCACTTTTTTCGCATGCAAGTCAGGTTTTGGCGTGGGCTGCGGAGCCTCATTTTTGTCCAACCATTGAGGCCACCTTTCAAATTAACATACAGCACCCATTCTTCATCTCCGGTAACAATTTGCTCTAAAAACGGCAAACGGTTTTGACGAGAGAGGAGCGAACTGCAAATTGTGACTCTTTGATCACGGTTGTTGTCGGTCAACTCATGAGGAACCCATTTTCCAAACTTTTGGACTTTGCCAAGTGCACGCAATTGATTGGAAATAGTTTTTTGTGAACAATTTAAAGTTGTCGAAAGTTCTTGTTGGGTAATTTGAGGATTTTGCACCAAAAGAGCGTGAAGAGCTTCTTGATCAAAATTGGACACACGGCCTTGACCACTCTTGTCATCTAACGAAAAATTTCCCTCGCGAAATTTCTCAAACCAACGCTGGCATTTTCTGGCGATAACTGCATCTTGACCAAGAGCACTACAGATGTTTTTTGCAGCCTCACTTGCTTTACTTCCTAATTGGAACTCGTAAAGCATGCAGTGCCGAATATGCTCTTCATCCGCCATCTTCTTAGCCCTAGTTTTGCAACAAAAAACAAACCAAACACAAACTTTTTCAAGCAAAACTTGTTAATTGCACTTCACACGTTCTGTAGATACCACGTGTTTGAAGGTTATGTCAATACAAGTCAACGCCAAGCAAGATTTTAAACGAATGTTTAAAAACGACATTAATTATTACTAGACCCGATATATATTTTTATTGATTTTAGAGGAGGAGGAAGAGATGGAAACATCAGTGATGAGAGAGAATATTGATCGGCTGCCTTCTGCATGCCCCACCCTGGGGATTGGAGCCCACAGTCTGGGAATATGCCCAACCTGAAATCAAACTGTGACTTCCTGGTTGATAGGTTGATGCTCAACCATTGAGCCACACTGGCCAGGCAGTACATTATATCTTTTTTCTTTTTTTTAATCTCTATTGTTCAGATTATTACAAATGTGTTCCTCCCCCCCCCCCCAATTACTCCCCTCCACCAGGTTCCCACCCCACCCTCTGTCCTTTCCCCATCCCCCATTGTCCTCATCCATAGGTGCACAGTTTTTATTCAGTCTATTCCCGCACCCCGACTCCCCTTTTCCCCGAGAATTATCAGTCCACTCCCCTTCCATACCTCTGATTCTATTATATTCAACAGTTAATATTGTTCATCAGATTTTTTAATTCCCTTGGTTTTTAGATTCACTTGTTGATAGTTACATGTCTGTTGTTCATAATTTTTATCTTTATCTTCTTCCTCTTCCTAAATAGCCCTCTTCAGCAATTCATATAATTCTGGTTTGGTGGTGATGAACTCCTTTAGCTTTTTATTTGTGAAGCTCTTTATCTGGCTTTGATTCTGAGTGATAGCTTTGCTGGGTAGAGTATTTTTTGCTGTAGGTTCTTGCTGTTCATCACCTTGAATATTTCTTGCCATTCCCGTCTGGCCTGCATGGTTTCTGTTGAGAAATCAGCTGACAATCGTATGTGTGCTCCTTTATAGGTAACTACCTGCTTTTCTCTTGCTGCTTTTAGTATTCTCTCTTTGTCTTTTGCTCTTGAAATTTTAATTATGATGTGTCTTGGTGTGGTCCTCTTTGGATTCCTTTTGTTTGGGGTTCTATGGGCTTCCTGGACTTGTAAGTCTATTTCTTTCCCCAGGTGGGGGAAGTTTTCTGTCACTATTTCTTCCAGTGTGTTTTTGATATCTTGCTCTCTCTCTTCTTCTGGAATCCTCATAATTCTGATGTTGGTTCGCTTGAAATTGTCCCAGAGGTTTCTTACACTATCTTCTACTTTCTGGATTCTCTTCTTGCTTCTGCAGAGGAGTGTCCTCTGGCTCTTTGTGTTCTAAATCTTTGTCTTGATTCTTGCGATCTTCCAGTCTGTTTTTAGGACTCTGTGTAATATTTTTTTATTTCAGACAATGTTTTCTTCATTTCTATTGTATTTGATCCCTTATTATTTCTAGTTGCTCCCTTTTCATATCCTCATAGGTCTCATTTATTTTATCGGCCTTTTTTAGGATATTGTTGAATAACGTTATAACTGTAGTTTTGAACTCAGTGTCCAATCTTTTCTTTTCCTCCATCATCTTCTTTTGTGTCCTTCTTCTTGTCTGCATTTTAGTTGTTTCCCTGATTTGATGGAATGGCTTTGTGTGCTAGGTGTTCTGGTAGAGCCCAGTAGCATAGCCTTCCCAGTTACCTGCGGTGGACAGTCTTGGTGTAGCCCTTTGTGGGCTGTGTTTGCAGTCTTGTTGTTAAGCCTTGCTTATTGTTGGTATCACTGGGAAGCGTAGCTAGGAGGGCTTCTGTACCCAGCTTGGAGGGGGGGGGTCTCGGGTGGCACAGACAATCTTTGGTTCCCTGTCAGTCTCGCCTTAGAAAAGTCTTCTCAATGAGTTTCTGAAGATTGGTTGCAGGTGCGCACACCTCTTTGGTAAAGGCGCAGACAAGCTTTGGATTCTGGCCAGTCTCTCTTTAGAGAAAGCCAGCCTCTGGGAGAGCTTCTGTGCTCAGCTTGGAGGGGCGGAGTCTCGGGGTGGTGCAGACAAGCTTTGTTTTCCCATCTGCTCCTCCCCAAGTGGCTCCTCCCCAAGTCCCGCAGTAATGGCCTCTGGCTTCACACACCTCGGAGAGATCTCTGCCCGGTGCCTGACAGTCTGGCCTCTCCCTGTCTGGGGCTGTCTATTAGAGCAATAGGGTGGCTGTTTTCCTCTCGAACAAGAAAACCAGTCTCGCATTAGCTGTCCACCCTCTCCGTGTGCCGGGAGTAAGCCAGCACCTTTTTGTGCGCACAGTTCTCCG